CCTGTGAAGTTTTTCATAGTATGTATTTTCATAGTGCTGTACCTGATCTTTTGCTTTGTTAGAAAGGTCACGTATGGTTAGATGATAGATGTCAGCAGTAGTGAATCAACAGAAGGAACAGGAGTCTTGACAGGACAGACCAAGCTTGTCCATCTTGCTCTGTTTTTTATTTAATGATTTTGATTTCATTAGAAGTACTTAATGGCAAAAGAGAAACTGTGAGCGCTACTGGAACAAAAAGTTACCAAACACACTAGTAGCTGACCCCTCAGTTTAGGGAATGGCTAACTCTTTTGTCCCTGTTCATCACATTGAGCACTGCTCCTATGTGCCATCCTCCTGGCTGACTAGCCTGTTCTTGGTGCCTGGAAAGGCTGACCTGGAATAGAGACTAGACAAATCAAAAGGAATAAAATAGGTATTTATTGAAAGGACACACCTTAGGCAGTGTAAGAGCCTGGCCAGGGCTACACTCAAGTTGAATCCAAGATGGATCCCAGTCACTAGTTTTTACACTTTTGTAAGTGTTTTGGTTCATCTACACATTGGGGTCAGTTGTCCAATCACAGGCCTAGGCCATGAAGTCTCAACCCCCTGGTTTGCCCCCTTCCCCTCAATGTTGTTTATGCTTTTTGGGTACTGGTTGTCCTTGATTCTCTAGCTAGGAAGAGATTGTTTTGTCTAACTACCCTGTGAAGAGAACTTAATGTGAAGTTTCAGAGTTGCGCCCCAAACAGCAGAGAATCTGAAAAATGTAAAAGGTAGAACCCAAGGCATCACTGGGACTTGTTGAGGCTTGGTTGCATTTAGCTGGGTGACCATATTCTTAATTCTTGCTTAAGATCCTCAGAATGAGATCTTTATATCCCATCTAAGTTCACTTCCAGTTTTGATTGTTACAATAGGTGGCATTTGTATTGTACAGATTTTATAATGTCTGCTGTATTTGTTCTTTCTCATCCCGTGCTCTTCCATCAAACCTGTTACTAACTGTATTGATTTTTCTTGCTGCTTTGTGACCACTTTTTTCATGTTTCTTGTGGTTTCCCATGGTTTGACCACTGCTCATATGCAAGTTACTTTTGCTAAATTGCTTCAGACTAATGTTTAAAAGAAAAAAAAAAACCCAAACAACTCAGCAGCTAATAACTTTTCTCCTTGCTATGACTAGGTACTTGTGGATATCGCAAATAGAACTTGCTTTTCTTAGTGAATTAACTCCTATTTCAGAGCTTGCCTTTTTCCTGTCCTCCTGTTGTTAATAAAATGTGGTCCAGTGTGGCTACTGGATAAAGTGTTTTTACCCATGTAAGACAGCAGAGAAGCCAAGACATCTAACTGTTGAGAAGTACAATAAAATGTACAATTGGCAAATGAACTGGAGCTACGGTTGAGCTTTCATATATCATTATATACCTTCGTAAGGAAAGCACTTGCAGAGAATTAGTACTGAATTCACTAAGCTATTAAAAGTACAGTTTGCTTTTGTTCTTCACCATAGTTCACTAAAATAGCATGTGTACTGTATACCTCATTATAAAATACTGAGTCATTGATTTACAGAAAACAAGTTGTTAATGATCTAGCTACTCAATTGCTATTTGCAAGTCTTCAAAATTAAGACACAGAAATGAAGGGCATTTTGCCTTCTCTGTTGCATAAGATGTTGCAGTAGATTGTTTGAATGCAGTGCATTAATCTTTCTGTATTGAGTTTTGTACTTCATGAAGCATATAATCCAAAGTGAATAATGGAATTATTAAGGTGCATATCAGTGATCTTATGCGTTAAACTCCAATATTCATCACACTGTTGTTTACCTTGCTCAGTATTCCAAAACTCAGCTTAGACCCATTTTGTTGGAACTTCTTGACTATTAATGCAGGGGCTGGTATCTGTTGGTTTGAAAATACCAGTACAAAGAATTCAGAAGATACTTGGAGTTCCCTTAAGGCAGAGGGAGGCAGAGTTAAAAAGCTAAAATTTATCCCCCAAAAAATATCTTTTATCTCTTTTTGTTTGATTCAGGAGAAGCTGAAACATTTAGGAGCAAAATCCTTGTTTCCTAATGAAGCAGAGGGGTGGACTGTTGAGAAATGTAAGGCTCCCCTGGTGTAAGCATGTTCTCTGAGGTTTGTTTTTACAAAACCTCATTAACTTTGCTCTGTGATTCAAATAAAACACCACCTGAGAGTCACTTAAGTACACTTCTATCATGAATAGGTGCTGCTTTGTGAAGATCAAAATACTCTGTACACTGCAGGATGAAATCCTTGGTGGAATATGCTCTGGATTCCTTGTTTTTATTTTGTGCTGAGGTGCAGTGATCTAGAGACTGGCAATCTAGACATTGCTGTGTAGAAAAGTTTTAGCTTGCCTGGAATGGATGAAGGAGTTTGCTTAAGATGCTAAATTAAAATAAAAAAAGAACAACAACAGCAGAACAAACCCTGCAGGTTCAGGGTCACAAGGTTGAAGGTATCTTGCAGTATAGAGGAGTTTGGTGCAGTCACAGGAAAAATATTTTTTTCCACAGACCCAGCAGATACAAATAGCTAATGTATATTTTAGCCAAGGCTTGAGTTAAAATATGAAGTTGTTTTGATCACTTATGAAATTGTGTTCTATAAATAAAAATAAATACATAGATCTACATACAACTTAGATTCTGCATAACATACTAACTGATTTACTAAGCAAAAGCTTTCAGACACAGTTGATCTTTCCCACCTGCGTGTAGAGAAAGCACAAGAGTTCTTTGTGCAGACAAGAGTAGATCGGTTTAGCTGTCACATGAGAGGAAGATAGCTGCTTCTGCTTTTTAGAGAACAAGCAGAGATTGTGAAGCCTCTACTGTTGTATTACATTGTTCATGAATTCAAATCCAAGGGCCTCTAAAAGACTTTTTTTATATCAGTTGGGAAGTTAATCATGGTTATATGAAGAAATGAAATACTGTGTCATTCTTTCACTGCTGATGTGGTGTTCTCTGTCTAGTATATGAAGTATTCATGCGACTTGAGATGATTTGTGCCATGAAATAACTAATATAAAAAATAGAGCAATGATATTTTAACTTGCACCTATATTACTTCAGAGCTGTGCTGTTCTTATCAAATATTTTTGTCTTTAAACGGGTTTTTTGACTGAAATAAAAATTTAAAGTTGTCTCTTTTTACACAGTGATTTCTTCTGCATTTGAAACTTTCAGGCACATTTTTCATTTGGACTCTATCTACTGATATAATATCTTTGTTTTTCATTAATTATCACTACTTTTGTCTCTGTATCTAGAAGGCAATGTTATGTAATTCACTTGCATTACTTTTAGAATATTAGAATTAAGCAAGCATGAATGCTTAACCTCTGAAAAAAATATTCATTCTTAGGTGGATTGTGTTTCTACTTATAAACATTTTTAAGTCCTTAATCACTAGAATCACGCAGTTCCGCTTATCTAAAATCAGTTACTAACAGTATGTTTAGAAGTTAGCTTGAAAGAAAATATATTTTCTTTACAGTGTCCATCTGCTTATTACATTTCAGCACTGAACAGGAAGAATTATTTCCTGTCTCAGAATCCTTTGTTTCCTTTGTCTCTGCAATGAAAGAAGAAAAAAAAATACCAGTACTCTCTTCTGACCTGCAAAAACTTTTCATTTTCTTTAAAGTACAGATTCGTGATAAATGACCTTATTAATACAATGCTGCTGAAGATAGGAATTGTAACTTTAATATCATTTTATTTCAATGAATATTGCAGGGAATATATTTTTAGGTCATCATACAGTACATAAACGCAGTTGTCACTGCATGATTAAATGGTTTTAAAACCTGAGATTGCATGGAAGAAAGCAGTGGTTGTAGCTAAGTTATTATATACTCTTCCTCTTTAAGTTGTGATTTTATTTTTGGAATAAAATCTATTCTGACAGTTGGCTTAATCAAGTTTGCTTATTTTTAAAGAGCACTAGCTTCAAGAAGGTAGGTGGAGATCATGTGCTGCTGCTTAAGAATGTGGGTTTTTTTGGTGATTTAGCAGATACCTCAACAGAATCAGGAAATCTTCCAGACTGTTCATATTTGTTTTTCAGTGTCTGACAGTATTTTTTGCTTTATTGTTGTTGCCAGCAATCACAAGGAACTACTTTGCTGTAGGTTAAAAAGTACAAGCCCAGATGGATTAAATTTTCATTTTACAGATATGAGCTTGTTGTGAATTTTGCTCTTAGTATAGCTGGCTTTGAGAGCTCTTGAGTCATTAGTCACTTGGAAAGATCTCACAAGGCTACTAGCCTTAATTTTGTGACTTTTGTGTCTAGTTTAAATATTCTTTAGGCCAGGTTGAATGGGCAACCTGGTCTAGTGAGAGGTGTCCCTGCCCACAGCAGGAGGGTCTGAACTAGATGATCTTTAAGGGTTTTTCCAACCCAGGCCATTTTATTATTCTCTTATATTTACTGTGTATTAGTTTACAAGTTTGGGGTTTTTTTGAGCAGAGTTAATAGATGAAGAGGCACTAGACACATAGTTTCATGCTTGTGCATCCTATGACTATGGGAAATTTTCATCTTTAATTTATATTAATTTCATAAATTATTTAAAAAGGGAGATTGGCAACTCAAAGCTTGGAAAGAATGCATGAACCATTGCAACACTTGTGAAACCTTTGATGAATGGCATGACATTACATAGAGGGTAGTTTTTGTATTGGTTTTGTATTTGCCAAGATCTCCATTTTTACTGGATGTTCAGTGCTACAAACACTGCACACGTTTTAAAGAAATACCCCTTTAAACAGGTATTCTGCTTCAAATGGCAGAATAACAGATTTGCTGTAACTCTTAAAAGGCTTCTTGCAGTCTGGTGGAAATAATAATGTTTTAGCAGCTGCGTTGTAAGGAGAGGGAGAATAGGGTGGCACAAAATTTAACAGTGCTGTGGCATTATACTTCAACTGAAATTAATAGTGTTTATGACTTTTTTTTTCTTTGCTGTAGTCGTGACATGGAGAATAAAGAAACCCTTAGGGGTTTGCAGAAGATGGATGACCGCCCAGAAGAGCGCATGATCAGGGAGAAACTCAAGGCAACGTGTATGCCAGCCTGGAAGCATGAATGGCTGGAAAGAAGAAGCAGGAGAGGCCCTGTGGTAAGTGGCACTGATGGAAGGACGGTATCTGTTACAGCTATTGCATATAAAAATTACTTCAATTTCTTTCTATTAGAAACCTTTTTCTTAGCAATTTCCCTACTCTTGATTGTGGTGGTGCTGTCGGTTTGCTCGGCGGTGTTTAGCAGGACAGCGTGGCTGCCTTTCCGGGCTGTGCCAGGGTTGTTGCTGTTTATTTTCACGCCAAGGCGCTGTTGCAGTGTGCGCTGAGCCGCCCCGCACGGCCGCGGCACCGCTGCCCTCCAGCGGCGCCCACTCCGCCGCTGGAACCTGCTCAAACAACCGGGAACACACCGAAACCCGGCTGTTCCCGAGCCAGCCCTCAGCTCCAAAGCGGGAACACACCGAAACCTGGTTCTTCCCGAGCCAGCCCTCAGCTCCAAAGGGGTTTGCATGACAGGGCTCTGTCAGCCTTTTGGTGCTGCTTTGGCATAAATGGCTAGGGAGTGCTTTTAAAAAACGTGCGTAGATCGAACCTGAAATATTTTAAAGAGTAGTTCCGATTAATAGCCATTACTTACCTGTGAACCTAGTTGCATTGGTCGATGTGGCTCCCGTGTACCACTAATGTGGTTAAGATCATCTGATGCAGTAGGCAAGTGTTTGGGAACACTTTTTGTGGAACAGAAGGAAGAAGGTTCTGTTGTGAGAAATAACGTTGAAAATACTTACAAATGCACCAAACCCGATTACCTCAAATGGTCAAATAACATAATTTTAACTTAAATTTAAATGCTTTTGGGTTATTGAATAGCTTGAAATTATTTTCTTGCTCAGTCTACTTCCCTTGAGCAACATTTGATGCTCTAGATTCTCAATTTGAATTTTTTTATGTTTTCAAAGCACAAGTAGTTTGTCCATAGGTACACAAATTTGCATTTTGATCTTCCAGGAGAAGCATTACTGTAATTGGTAGGAGGGAGGAAATGGTTTCCACTGCTCTTTATATTTCTCTTTTATCCTGTTCACTTTTGTAACTGGGCACTAAGTCTAGATGTCTCTTCCTGCCCTGAGGAGGGAAAGCTCCTTTCAGTTTTTTGTCTTTATTAAAGAGACGTCCCAGACTTTCTAGGAGAGATCTCCTCTGTTCATATGAGGTGTTGCTTGGAGCTTCCTTCCAGTGTTGCGTCAAGCCTCTGAGACATTGGAAACTGTGGAACTTCTTAACGTGACTTTTTAGTTTGATTCTCAGGGATATTACTCTTCATACACATTATGTGAGTCTGACTGGCAGAAAGCTGGAAGTTGTCTTGAAATATTCCAATCCTCAGTGTCAAGATTAAATGTTCATGCAACAAAGCACTGTTGTGTATGTACTCCCTTTGCTTAAGCACCCCCTCTGTCCAGATTGTGTAGCACCATGCACAGTGGTTAGCTCAGATACCAGATGTGGTGCAGCTATTTTGCTTGTATGGCACACAAAATATGTGAGTGTGGTTTTTACAAAGAACAGCACATGTAATTTTGCTGGATTACCTCCATGTTTGAAGTCTTTATTTTGCAAAAGCGTTGTGCTAAAGAAATAGTAGCCCTAGTATTTTTCAGCTGATACCATGTAGAATGGATGGGTCTAGTATTATTGCTCTTAATAAACACAGTAGCTGTAAAGAAGAGAATTCTCTTGGCTTCTACTCTCCAGATGGGGAAACTGCTATTTTTGAGGTTTTGTGAATGACAATTATATGAGTACTTTAAGAATCAAATCAGTTTTCTGCCAAAAGTAACATAAGCTGCACAAATGGACAGGAAGAAAGGCTCTTGCTTTTGTATTGAATATAGATCAGTAAGTTAATCCCTCTTAGATGTTAATAGTATGGCCTAAGGAATATTTGGATATCTGTATAATGGCTTAATTACAACAAAAGAGTTTCTGATTAATTTGCTTTGCTTTAATGTAAAATTATCAGTTAATAATTGTAACATGTGGTTTAATTCCTGCAAGGTGGTGAAACCTATCCCTGGAAAAGTAGATGGATCAGAAATGAACAAACTCTGTCTAGATCCTCAAGCTGAAGGACAAAGCACTGCTTCGTCGCCTACACAGAAAGGAAGACGTAGTCCTTCTCCCAGCAGTTCCTCTTCATCATCTGCTAGGACAGTTAAATCTGAGTCACCAGGTGTTAGAAGAAAAAGGGTATCTCCAGTGCCTGTAAGTTGCAAGCTGTGATGTAATTTTCAATTTGGCTATATTCTACAAGCTTTTGCTCATGGGTCAGTTGGTCTTCCCTCTGTACAGCAAGATCCTGATATAAAAAGGTTATTACACTTGAGTGATGCACACATGTCATGTGGTGTTTCTCATGTGTGTTTTCTTTTTCCTTCAGTCCTGCTTTCATTTGTTATTACTAGGAAAGAAATGAAGAAATATAGGTGCTTAATCATGAATGCATGCATGTTTTCTTAGCTTGATTAACATGAAGAAATGCTGGTAGTTGGTTTTTTTTGTTGTTGTTGGTTTTGGTTTTGGGGTTTTTTTGGTTTCTAGTCTTTTTTGGTTGGTTGGGGTTTATTCTTTTTTTTCTTTTTTTTTTTATAACTGTAGTCAGTTCCTACTCCCTGTCAGTTCTGTGGATGGGCAGGTATATTCCATTAAGGATAGGACTGTGAATGAGATTAAAATTCCTGTAGAAAAGTCTTAATGGTATGCTGTTGTGATCCTCTATTTCAGAACTCATCTTTATGTACAGATTAGGGAAGTCTTACGTATGTCCATTGTTAGAAGTCTAAAATCACTCTCACTGGATTCTAGAGAACATCTAGAATAGAATGTTTTGAGCAAGAGTAGCTGGTTTAATTAAAGAAGATCAAGAGTGTATTTTGACCAATAATATCTAACAAGCTAGCTTGTTGAAAATATACTCATCAGCAGTTAAATTCACATGCAATTCATCGTGCACTTAGAGAATAAATAAGAATCTAATAGGTTCTGTTTTCCCATTGTTCTAAACAAGTTTTTCCAGTATCAATTAAAATATGTACTGCCATTCTTCTGAACTAGAGACAAGTTACAGGACAGCAGCACTGGTCTTTTCCTCTTGACAAGAAAAATTGAAAGGTTAAAAAAAGAAAACAGCCATTTTTAATTGGTTGTAATTTTTTGTTTCATATTTACTTTTCACATTAAAAACATTAAAAATCCATTTTGTATTTTACTTATATGACGGACAGTGAATTCAATGCATACAAATAAAAGCATAAGATCTGAAATGGGATGGAACCATTAATACATCTCATAATGTTAGAAATGTGAAGAATTTAAATGAAGACAATCTTCCTGAAAGGTTTGGGCCATTGATTTTTTGATTAGGGGGAACCAATATTAAAAAAACCCAAAATCATCCTCATCTAAAAGTTGCTTTCATGGTGGAAAAGGGAGAAAGCTGAATTTTAAAATTTTTTTTCCTGTGGAATTTTCTAAAACTTTTGATCTTGGTTGAACTTGTATTCCCTTTTGTAAACTGTAGTCATGGCGTTTTTTCATTTATGAAATATATTAACTTTACAGCCTTATAGAATAATCTTCTTTATTGATTAATAAGTCTCTTTGATTATCTTTGGGTTGAATTATACTTAATAATTCAGTAATAATATGGTAAGGCAACCAATGATGACATGAAAATAAGAGGCAATTTGAAAGACTCCTTTAGTGTCCCAATGTCAGACAAGTTTCAGCTACAGAATTTCAGTTTTCTTCTGCCCTTGAGCAGAAGAAAGAAGCAGAGCTTCCTCTGGGCATGGGAGAAAAGTATTTTAAATCATGTAGTCTAAGAGATTGTAGTAGTGCCAGGTTTTGGGGACTCTTACTCTGGAAACAAATGAACAAACCATACCTATTTAAACGTTTTTCTGTCCTTTGAATGCTCATGACGGAGGCACTTGTGTAGTTTCAGAGCGGACGGATAACGCCCCCGCGCCGAGCCCCGTCTCCAGACGGCTTCTCTCCATACAGCCCCGAGGAGACAAATCGCCGTGTCAACAAAGTGATGCGAGCCAGGCTCTACTTGCTGCAGCAGATAGGACCCAACTCTTTCTTAATTGGGGGCGACAGCCCTGATAATAAATACAGAGTGTTTATTGGGCCCCAGGTAGGGAACGCTTTGGTCTTGTCTATAGCTTTTATCAATTCATAGTTAAACTCGGAAAACTGTTCAAAGTCAGATTAGTTAAATTGATGATCACTGTTCTATAAAGTAATGTTTAAAAGTCATAATCTGTACTCATGTAATACCCAAATCAGTTTGTAATCTGTAAATTATGTTTGTCTACAGTTTCTCTTTTTTAAAAGAAGTGGCTCTGAATTATATGTCTTACATATTCTTGGCTAAAATTTGGCCACTTAATTCCTCTATTCATGGGATGTATATAAATGACAAACACATGACATAATTCTCTTGATAGTGTGGTAATTTCATTAATAGCCATAATGAGATCCTTTTAATAGGATTTCTTTTTATTAATGTGATGCAGTATTGGGCCACATCCTGGATGGGTAAACGGAAGCATCACATTTAAGTTTGATTGATGTCATGTCGTGACATCATACTTCCAGTATGAAGCATTAAAATAGTTTCAGTTGATTTAAAAAAAAAAGGGGGAGGGGGGAGAAAATAAATTGAAACTGGTGTAGTAATTTTATGCTTTCATGTACGCATTTTTGAATAATATTTTAGGAATTCTCTCTTTTTCATAAAGCTACGCAAGAGGACATTTATACCTATATATGAAATTTTTTTTGTTGTTCCACTTAAATGTGGAAAAATGATCAAATCAGTAGAACCTTAGCATGTACTTCTCTTTGCAGACTTGTAGCTGCGGCCGCGGGACATTTTGTATTCATCTGCTGTTTGTTATGCTGAGGGTCTTCCAGCTTGAACCCTCAGACCCAATGCTCTGGAGAAAGACACTGAAGAACTTTGAGGTAATCAATTACTAATAGATGTAATGACAATCTAGAATACACTCCATAATATGTCTTTAGGACACTATCTTAAAAATGCTGGAAACTTAGATTTCAAAGCAACAAGAATATATGTTTATAATTATATCCTTAATTCAGTCCCAGGAGTTCTGTAAGTGGAAAAAATTACAAATATAAGACATAACTGCATAAAGAGTAGAGAGCTGCAGTTTGTGTAATTCAGCTTGTGGGATTTTCTATTAAAATTTATAGATTTATCTCACTGATTTGCTAAAAAGAAGAAATTGGGTATTTTGAAGTAATTGTGTGTACAGTTAGACCTGTTATTTATTTTCAATAAACAGATAAGTTTTTGGTGTAAAATGTTCTTGTGATCTTTTTACTAGTAAGACTTCTGAAATTTCTTCTGCTACTGCTAATGCGTTATTGTGAAGGTGAATAGATTTTTCCTCTTAGCAGTAGTTTATGCTTCAGTAATGTGACTTTTAATTACAAGATATTCATAGCATAAATAAGACTGTTGCTATCTTTTTCTGATGTTAGGTTGAGAGTTTGTTCCAGAAATATCACAGTAGGCGTAGCTCGAGGATCAAAGCTCCATCTCGTAACACCATCCAGAAGTTTGTCTCACGCATGTCAAATTCTCATACATTGTCATCATCTAGTACTTCTACATCTAGTTCAGAAAACAGGTTAGTATTTTTTAAAGGAATTACAAGCTTTATTCTGTAGTTTCAGAATCACCTACATTCTTTTTGTTCAAAGCTGCTTTCATTTCAAGTCACGTTAAGTCCTCTGCATTTGCAAGCAGTCAAGTCAAGCATACATTAGTCACTGTGGTACCAAGTCAGCGTATTTGTTTTGTAACTTCTATTTGGAAAATGTTAAGTAGAGTTGTGAAAAGAATTTTTTTGACCCTATATGAATTTTGCAAAACAAACTTTTGAAATCTTGAGTGCAAAACTGAAGCATATATCAACTATGGAAGTGTATTGTGTGCAATTTTTAAAATACAGCACTTGTGCAAATGTTAACTAAAGAATAAACATTATTTTTTTTGTCTCCTGTCCTGCTTTGGAGAAAGGCTTGTGCCTCTGACAGCGCACTGAAAAATGTTTAGGTAAATGCACTCTATATAAACACAAATATAAAAACAGAAGCAAACATATGCTTTTAAAACTACTTCATTAAAAATGGGTGATTAAATTATTTAAAGAGAGCTATTAACATATTAGCTTTGACTTTTCTAGGAATTGATGCCTTGTTTATGAATTTCAAGTGATGTGTTATTCTTTCATATTTTCTTTTCCCTGACTACTTCAACTTAAATTCTTTTGTATGTTTTTTTTTTCCATGGTTTTGAACAAAATAATTTGTACTTGCATTATTTAGTGGGTAAACTGTATATAATTTAGAGTGGTCAGACCAAAGACGACAACCCTAATTGAGGCTTTGTTTTGTATGAAGTGGAATCGTAACTTAAAGAATATCTTGATATGTTACATTGTGATAAAGAGCATATAGTAAGATAAATATATTCAGACGGGTTTATTATTCTGATATACAGATTGTGGCCTTAATTTAATTTCATCTTTAATTATTTTTCCAAGTTGTGTCACTGTAAATAAATTGCATAAACAAAGTTGTTAAATACATAATTATTCTGAAACTACTTAATCTGACAAGCCAGTTCCTTTTATGTCACCATTTCCTGTAGGAATTTCTTTTTTTCCATTGGATTGTGAATTTTGCTGCATTAGTTATCACTTCTTGCAGGATGAAAGATTTTCAGTTGTTTCCCAGTACACATGGTGATCCTGGTTCACCCTGCAATACTGATTCAATGAGAGAAGCTGCTGTTTTGTGCAAGTCTAAATTTGTATGGTATAGGTATTGAAGAACACTGAGGATCAGATTCATTTGAGATAGAATTTTACTCAATTCTGATAATTCCTGTGGCTCACAGTTATGTTTTGCTTACTGCTAATTCTTCAAAAATAAATTTCTAATTAATATATAATATAGATACACACATAGAGAATTATTTTTTATTGTAAGCTTACTTTTGTAGATTTTTTCAAAGAATAAATAGCTTTGCAAGTGTTTGAAGAGAAAAATAAAGGAATACATATGTAAAGAAATAATGCATGTACAAGTTAATTTTATTTTAAAAATTTATTGTTGATGAACAAATGCAGGCTGCCTGCAAAGTTTTAGATGCACACCAAATATAACTTAATTTTTTTGCAATGGGTAATTAGAGTTTTGCACATTTAAACAATATTGCAGAAGACTAAAAATCTGTGCTTTTCATGGCATGTTTTAAGTTCAGAAGAATTTCTTGGGTAAATCTCCCGTTATATTAATTTAAAAATTACAGTGAAGAAAAAAGAAATAGAAACAGCATCAAAGGGAAATAGGAGGTTGTTTAAGCATCCGTGTGTGACATATATGTTAGTGTTCATGTGAATCTATTCCATCACTTTCTGTTAGTGGCAGAAAATTCTTGAGCAGTTTATTTTTTGAGTTTTACTGTGTTTATCAAAGAGCATTTACAGTTTCTTGTAAAAGGCTAAAGACTGCCTTGTGACTCCATACTTTGAAAGGAATGTGATGGAAAAGAACATGGGTAGCTTTCAAAATATAAAAACTCCTTAGTTTTTTAAACCGAAATGGTAAATTAAAAAGTGAAGGTTGGTTTGTTTAAAGAAGCCTTAGGAAAAAAATGCTAAGTGCCCAAAGCTAGGCCTTTCAATCTCTAATTGGTATCTGACCTAGTTTGGAAAGATGTCATGCGTTTTGTGACTTTCCCTTTCATTTTAACCAAGTGTTGTCTGTAATGAGTGCTTCTAAAAATCTGGTTGCTTACTTATTCAGACCAAGGTTTAGGAGAATGATTCATGAATAGCCTGTAGTTATCCAGAAGTGACTGTTCCAAACTGGAAGTTAATCTTTTTTTCACTGTTAAAGCCTGTTCTGAATTCTGATGCCTCTTCTACAATCACAAATGTTTCTTTTTATAGTATGAAGGATGAAGAAGAACAGATGTGCCCCATTTGTTTGTTAGGCATGCTGGATGAAGAGAGTCTAACGGTGTGTGAAGATGGCTGCAGGAACAAATTACACCACCACTGCATGTCAATATGTATGTTGTCTTTGTTTTGTCAAGTTCTAGTGACTCTAAATCCGCAAAGGTATTATAGCTTAGGATGGTTTTCAGTTGTTTGTATTATGCTCAGTAAAAAGCCCAGAAATCTGATCGCAAATGATGACTGGTAACTCTGAAAATTTGGTGTCATTCAGGTACTATGGATACACCTTACTTTATCTGATTTTGTCATTCCATGCTCTGATAGAGAAGCTACCCGAGGTCTAGAGGTTTAAGCCTCTCTTACCTGAGTGAAAAGATTATATCCAATTAGAACAAGGTTAGGAACAGACTTTCAGCTCCCTGTGACTTGTCATTAGAACGTATAAAAGTCATGTAATACTAGCTAGGGTTATATAATGAACTATGAAGTATGTTTATATAATGCATCAAATAAAGTATATAAATATTTACAGTTTGCATTAACAAATAACATTTACCTATATTTGAGGTACAAAATTAGCTGAATTTCAGTTCATAACTTAAAAATATTAATTGTAATACTGAAGTGAAGCATTTTTTCATGCAAAAAAAAATTTTTAAGCACCCATATTTTAATGCCTAAGCTGTTGAAAGTGGCTCAGTTCAGAAGTATTAATTATGGAACTAATGTTCTTCAGTAAAACTTAGAACTAGTTATGCCATTGTCCGTTTTTGTACATTGAAAAACTTAAGTGCATATGATCCTGTTGCTCTATTCCAGGGGCAGAGGAATGCAGAAGAAACAGAGAGCCACTCATCTGTCCACTTTGTAGATCTAAATGGAGATCCCATGATTTCTATAGGTGAGGATTCACTTGGGGTATTATAAACTACCTGTTTCTGTATCTTTAATTGATATTTCTGAATATGCTGGATTATTTACCTCAGATGTTTAATTGTTAATCTGTGTTGTTCTTGATCTGTAGTCATGAATTGCCAAGCCCTGTGGATTCTTCTGTTCTCCGTGTGGTTCAGCAACAATCTCAGCAGCAGTCTGCAGTTGGATCACAGAGAAGAACTCAAGACAGCAATTTTAACCTTACTCATTACGGAGTCCAGCAGATCCCTTCTACATATAAAGATTCAGCTGAGCCATGGATTCAGGTAATTCTATTTTGTAAAAGACCTAATAGCCTTTAAAGTACAGAGGTAGGTTCAGCTGAACATGGGGTCACACACTTAAAAATGAGATCACTTGTATTTTCTTTATTTCTGCCATTATTTTCATCTGGTATAGCTAGACATTGATTTCAGGACTGTTAATATCAATATCTGGAAAACAACTTCATACGTAATAATTAAAATTCTGTTAATATAGTTTTTAGAGAATCAAGTAGCATATAATTTATGATGTTTCATTTCTGAGACACTGTACCTCCAGACATATTTTTGCTGTCAGCAAAATGATGATATTTTATTAGAAATATCTTTCATCGTTTTGATTGCTCTTTTCAGGTACTTAAAGTTGCAGCATTGTTCATTTTGACTCCTGTAATGTTGCTTTCTTCCTTGGCAGGTATTTGGGATGGAGCTAGTTGGCTGCTTGTTTTCTCGAAACTGGAATATACGAGAGATGGCACTTAGACGTCTTTCCCATGATGTTAGTGGTGCTCTGTTACTGGCTAACGGTGAAAGCACTGGAAACTCCGGAAGCAGCAATGGAAACAGCACAAGTGCTGGAGCTCTGGGAGCAGCTAGTGGGTCATCTCAGACCAATATCTCAGGAGATGTGGTGGTGGAATCCTGCTGCAGTGTGCTGTCCATGGTCTGTGCTGACCCTGTCTACAAAGTGTATGTTGCTGCTTTAGTAAGTAGTTGTTTATTTGTCTTCTACTAATTTTTTAGTTTCTTCATTTTTGAAGGGGGAGGGAATGGGAGAAGATATGTGAAATCAGGAATCCTAGTAATTGTTTTTGATCACTACTGATGACTTCTAACTACCCTTTGAAAGTGGGATGATCAAAATACTCATCATAAGTGAAAGGACATGATTTCACTGGCACTTGCCATAGTGCTAGTTATTGACAGTATTTGTATGTCTTTTCACTCTCAAAGAGAAGTTGACTAACTCTAGCAGTTAAATTGTAGTAAGCTGTTTATCCTTTGAATATTTCACTGACATTTTGAATGCAATTTAGGTAGAACTGAATTTACAACTCTTTAATGCTTATTTACATCTCTTTAAAAAATAAAAATTGTGTAGTTGGTTGGATTTCATATGTTTTGTTTTTGTCCTTTCTCTTAGAAAACTTTAAGAGCCATGCTAGTGTACACTCCCTGTCATACTTTGGCAGAGAGGACTAAACTACAGCGACTTCTCAAGCCAGTAGTAGAGACGATATTAGTTAAATGTGCAGATGCTAACAGGTATGATGTCTCATGAACTTCATTTTGAATTATTACTGAGATCTTAAAGCTTCATTTGTTACTATTCGTGTGTAACTAGTTGGTGTTAAAATAAAATGCGTGGATTGTAAATATATATCATTGTTTTGCTAGCCTAACTGCTGCTGGCAAACTTCTGTCTTAAAATATGTAGATTTTGGAGGCAAATGATTGTATACTTTGTTTTCATAAGGGCTTTTCCCCTCTCCTCAGTAAAGGAAGGTGTTAGGTTCAGTCATGAACCCATCCCTTCCATCTCCGATGCTATTGCTTTGGTCTAATTCTCAGGACTCTCCTTAGAGCTATTAGCAAGTAGTCCTCAGTGTTCTTCCTACTTCAGCAGAAGTTGTTACACCTCTTTGCCATGAAGTAGTAGCAGTAAAACTTGTGATTTGTAATTCAGAGTGTAATGATAGGAGATGGCTATTTAAGGTGAATTGCCCTTAGCTCAGGTCTTCCTGTCCTAGGCTACTCTGTTTGTTCTGCCAGGCTAACCATTTCTTCTCCTGTACTGTAAAGTAGATGCAAAACTCCACCAGATAGAGTTTTGTCTTGACGTTTATTTTCTAAGCAGCATATTTTCTGAAACTGCAGCTAGAGATCTCCCAGCAACAGTCTAGCAAGACAATATCTAAAGTTAAAGTAGTAAGTGAAATAGAACTGGTTTTATGCATTTGGCCACATTTTGCAAGAGAACAAGGCAATTTGGGGTTTTGTTTGTATATTACTGATAGATATGACATTTCTGGAAGTATCCTTGTAAAAATGTCCCAAACACTTGTCTTACAAAGAGTGGATTATAGAAATTTATATGAATAAAATGATGTGAAATCATTTTACACATAATACCTAGCTGACGATTTTTAAAGTATAATGAATACGATGTTTTTCCTTGAAAGCATTTGCTAAAGGAATACTTTTTTTGGTTTTACTTTCTTACAGTCGAACAAGTCAACTTTCAGTCTCAACGCTATTGGAGATGTGTAAAGGTCAAGCAGGCGAGCTGGCAGTTGGGAGAGAAATACTTAAGTCTGGTAATAATAACTCTTCATATACAACTAAATTATAATTACTAGCAAATAATACTGGAATTGTCAAGTACAAGCATAGCAAAGAGAACAGTATTCCTCTCAACAGTTTGGAAGGGGGCTAATTTGGGCAAACAGTGATTAATTCTGTATGATACAATTCTGATCTCTATGTAGACTATGAACATAATACCTAATCTTCATTTTTTCAAATTTTTTTATAGGATCCATTGGTATTGGAGGTGTTGATTATGTCTTAAATTGTATTCTTGGAAACGAAATTGAATCTAGCAACTGGCAAGCACTGCTGGGACGACTTTGTCTAATAGACAGACTTCTGTTGGAATTTCCCAGTGAATTTTACCCCCACATTGTCTGTGGAGATGTCTTGCAGGCTGACACAGTAGTTGACAGGTACTTGCTTGTACTATGTGAACGTTACTCTTTGCAGTTGAATTTGTTGTTGGTGATTTCATAAAAGAAGTCGTTGTTCTAATTCTTGTATACAAGTAACATATATTTTTATGCAAAGCGTGCTTGCTTTACCGAGTAAATAGTTGTCTTTTTAAAAACATCTGACCTGTGAAGCATTTTTGAAGCACCAGTGCAACCAGAAATACCCTTCCTACTTCAGAACTGACAACTAAATACATTATCTTGAAACGGCTTTTTTGGTACTAGTTAATGAGAACACGTCAGTGTATAAAATACCTCTTTTCTTTTTTTAGGTATAAGAAACTTCTCTCCCTCTTAACGTTCGCCTTGCAGTCAATTGACAATTCCCACTCAATGGTTGGCAAACTGTCACGGAGAGTATTTTTAAGTGCAGCAAGAATGGTAGCAAGAGTGCCCCATATTTTTATAAAGCTGTTAGATATGTTGAGTGTGACAAGCTCAACTCATTATGCAAGGATGCGTCGACGTCTGATGGCAATAGCAGATGAAATGGAAATTGCAGAAGCCATTCAGTTAGGCATGGAAGAAATGCACTCTGGGGAATGCCGACATGAAGACTTTTTACAGCTACCCGTGCCAGATAACTCTCCAGAAACTACAGAAAATAATACCCCTAATAATACTGTGCAGTTATCAGGGAAAAGTGGGAAAGGTTTGAGTGACAGAAAACTGAGTGCCAGTCCAGATGACATTTCTGAGATGCTAGCTGGCCTTGCTATGGGACTTCCTGTTTCATCAGTAACCACTGAGCAACCAAAACCAGCCATTCAAACAAAAGGAAAACCCCATGGTCAGTGTGTGAACTCTCCTCCCTCATCCAGTCATTCCCAGTCACTATTCCCAACACTTCTGTCTCCATCAAACCCATCTGTACCAGCTGGCACTGTAACAGATGTCTCTAAACTCAGACCTCAGGGATTTGTTCCCTGCAAAATCCCCTCACCTTCTCCTCAAACACAGCGGAAACTTTCTCTCCAGTTTCAACGAAATTGTTCTGAAAATAAAGAATCTGAGAAACTTTCTCCAGTTTTTACCCAAGCCAGACCACTGCCATCCAGTCACGTCCATAGGCCAAAGCCATCACGACCCACCCCAAGTGATATGAACAAGCAAGGAGAAACCTTAAAAAGCAGTATGACACTTGACCTGAATGATATTTCACAGTGTGATGGCAGTAGCAGTGCAGTTATACCAAGTGAAGAGACAGTGTTCACACCAGTAGATGAAAAGTGCCGGCTGGATGTTAATGCAGAGCTGAATTCCAGTATTGAGGACCTACTTGAGGCTTCCATGACGAGTGATGGCACAGTTACATTCAAGTCTGAAGTTGCAGTTCTTTCTCCTGAGCGGGCAGAAAATGATGATACTTACAAAGATGATGTCAATCATAATCAAAAATGCAAGGAAAAGATGGAAGCTGAAGAGGAGGAAGCTTTAGCTATTGCTATGGCAATGTCAGCATCCCAAGATGCCTTGCCAGTAATTCCTCAGCTACAGGTCGAAAATGGTGAAGACATTATAATCATTCAGCAGGATGTAAGTATACGTGTGAAAATTTAGGTTAAGTCTCAGCTGAGGGTCACGGAAATTGTAAAGCAGTGCTGTTCTATTTCAAAAGTGATAGAAAACATGAAGGTGCTCAATATCCTTTCACGGGAAATTGAATATAAACAGTTTGCCATTTTGAGGGTGCTAACAGCATCCTTCCATGTTACTAACAAATCTAGAGTGTTTGCAAGAGAAACACCATATCATGTATCAACATTCGAAGTGAGAAAAAAGGAAGTGTAAAACTGGGGAAACCAGGAAATAAAACCACAAATTTTAAGCAGAAGTAGAATTGTACTGAGTCTTGATGCTGATTTACTTTGAAGGCAATTGTGCAAATCCATAGTAATTTTTGAAAGAAAGAATGGGAAAGATCTTGTCTTCCTATCTTGAGAGAAGATGAGAAATACTTTATTAGTCAGAAAAAAAAATATATATATATTTGCAACTAAACAAAAGGCACAAGAAATAATAATAGAAAAGTGGTATTTTATTTGTCATCCTTTGAGGTAACATGTAAAACATAAAATGGGAGGGATAAATTAAATAGAAAACAATCTGGGTTTGGTTCTGTTTAGTGTAGGTACAAGCTAAAGCCTTAACTAGATGTGAGATGAGGAATAGAAAAAAAAGTTGTGGTCCTACTTATGTCCTTAATCTTGCCTTTCACCTTCACGCAGTAACACAGAGGAAGCTCTGTTTCATGTAGCAGAGCTATGTGGGTTACAGAATACTCCGGTGCACTCATCTCAGCTGATACCTATATAACAAACAGTTCAAGGAAGTATAGGGGAGAGGAGAGGCATATAAGCTTAGATATTACTAACACTTTAGAGTGTCTGTATTTTAGATGCAAGTTAGTAAACTTGGAACTGATTTTTGAATTTAATTTACAGACACCAGAAACCCTGCCTGGACATACCAAAGCAAAACACCATTACAGAGAAGATGCAGAATGGCTTAAAGGTCAGCAAATTGGTCTTGGAGCTTTCTCTTCCTGTTACCAAGCTCAAGATGTGGGAACAGGAACATTAATGGCTGTAAAACAGGTAAATACTTCAGGAAAGTACCTCATTTTCTTGTGTTTTCTCTCTGACCCTTTGTATTCCTGCTTCTTCTACTCCGTTTCATGAGTCCTGACATAATACATAATTTAAAAAGCCTTTATGTGCATGGTATTAACTGAATATATACAAGTTTTTTCAGATTTTCTTAGAGTGAAAGAAGGTCTTTTTTTCTTATGCCCGTTTTATTCCACCGTTCTTCAAGTGCGTTTTTGTTTCTATCGAGTTCATAAAATGATGGCAGAGTTATCTTGATTCCAAGTAAATGCCCTATTTGGAAGATAGTTATTTAAAATAGTTTCTCCTCACTTGTCAGGAATATTTTTCCTCTGACTTTAAACGGAGGAAATATAGTTTAATATTTGTTTCCTCTGATTCAACTTTGATAACTAAGTAAAGCCAAGTTGGAGGCAAGTATTGTTACTATTTAAATTAATAGATAGATACAGAAGTGTGGCTGAGAAGAGGCAAATGCTTCAGTCAATATTTTTGAAGGTTTCAGGTGTGAGTAAATTGTTCACACTAGAGCTACCTGGGGCTGAATCAGTGGTAACAAAATAGAGGGAATTTTAGTCCCAACACTCTTATCAGTTCTACCATGAATTTGCACCTATGGAATAGATGAAATGTTTTGAAATTGCTGAAGGAAGGAGTATCTGCCACCAGTTATTCCTCCTTTGAAACTGTTGCTTGTGAAAAAGTGGGAGTGTCCATGGGGTCCTGGAGACATGATGATGATTGTGATGCCTGGGGAAATACTCTGCAGCATTCCATTATGTCCTATTTAGTATGGATCAGAGCTGAGATTGGCTCAAATCCCATTACTTCTGATCTGTCGAGTTCTCCTCTCAGTTGAATTTCTGTAAGAGCTTGAGTTATGGACATTTAACTGGTAAAATTTTGTAAGTGATCACTATAAAGTGATCCTATTTCCAGACCTTTTCTTTCTTCCTTTTGCCCAATATCTGGAAATCAAGGGTTTTTTCCTAGTTTAAATAGAGGTGAAAAGAGGGATGTTTCCCCATTCTTTACTTGGAGAGTTTTTGTTTGTTCCTTAGAAGATTGCTCTTAATTTTCTTTGACTGTCTCACATGGAGATATGTTCTCAGCTGATGGGGTTGGAGGTAGTAAAGTAGTTCTAGATGGCTAAAACCATTCTTGTTGCTGTACTGAAAGTCGATTACAGGACTTATACTGAAATTAGGTTAAGTCTGGATACTGTATTTCAAAACAGGTGACATATGTCAGGAACACATCATCTGAGCAAGAAGAGGTAGTGGAAGCACTGAGGGAAGAAATAAGGATGATGAGTCATCTGAACCATCCTAATATTATTCGAATGTTGGGTGCAACATGCGAGAAGAGCAACTATAACCTCTTTATTGAATGGATGGCAGGTAAACAACTGGTGAAAATACTATTTGAGTCTTGAAATATGTAGTGTTGCATTGCTTGAGGTTGTGAATTCGTATTTTTATTGCTGTGTTGGCAACCAGTATAAAGGTCTGCTTACAGAACAGCTGAAGTGGTCATAGCAGTATTCTTAATGGTGCATCCTTTTGTGATTTGGCATTTTCCATACCTTACCTGTCATACAGTTAAAGCAGTTGGAAACCCTGAAGAAAGATTCTATTACTTTTTCTTCCATTTCTGACTCTAAATGAGAAGTGACAAATTTTGATTTATTTCCAGCTGAAGTGACTGTCTCTCAAACTGTTGCATTTTCAGTTTATCTGTGTAACTTTAGGTTATTATTAAAAATAACTTTGCTAGAAAGTTTGGAATACCTATCACTTGCTTTTGTCCAGAGCTTTTTCATAAAAATTGTGTCAGGTGACATCGAGAGGCATTTAAAAACTGAAAAGAAAGTTTCAAATAATAAGTAGTAAATAGTGCTTTTGGAGAAATTAATTCAAATCTTAAATCGCTTAACAAATAACCTAGTACAAATTTTGAAATCTTTTCAGAATTGTATAGAGCAAGGACAAGAAAATCTGTCTTTATTTTGAGAAATAATTTTATTAATTTTATGAATGTGATTATATGTTGGTGCTGTCCAATTACGAAATGGTTTTTATACATCCTTATTTGCTGTAAAAGGAAGCATTGCCCTCTAACTTATGGTCAGAGTGCTAACATGCAAAGCCCCCAAGTATATGTCATTACAAGAAGTAGTGCAATAAATAATTTCTCAAAATATTGAATGTTAAACCTTTTAAGTGTGATTTTTTAAAAAAAAATATTATTATTTAGATAGTTAAATGTCAGGAATTGGGTTTACCTCATTTGAGCCCAGGTTATATTACAATACTTTGAGAGACCAGTTGGAAATCCAAAATCTTGAGAATCTGTTACCAGTTTTGGAAAATAGAGAAAGATACTGCTTTTCCTTGTTTGTCAGTGTAGTTCTATGTATTGGATGATAACAAACATAAATAAAGATCTTAAGAAGGAATACTTGCTGGAGGTTGCACTTACCTATTGCCTCAAAAATAGTTAATGTTCTGCTGTTTACACGTTAATATGAAATGTGGATAAAGTGTAGTTTTTAAGGAAGTATAAAATTATTAGGAAGCATGAAGACTTTTGTCTTTAATGTGTACAATTCCATTTAGAAAGTAATTGAGGAATGAACTACATCACTTTTTGCCTATGAAATTTTTAATTTTGGGGGGTAGGGGAAGAGAAATATTAATTAGTAATATGAATATCAAGTTCCAGTTTTAGGATGCACTCTATTAACAGAATGTGTAAGTGTTGATAGAATGTACTGTTTTATCTTTTAGGGGGTTCAGTTGCTCATTTGTTAAGTAAATATGGAGCCTTCAAAGAATCAGTTATTATTAATTACACAGAACAACTGTTACGTGGCCTTTCTTACCTCCATGAGAATCAGATAATCCATAGAGATGTTAAAGGTGAGAATTACTGATTTTTCTAGGAAGGAGTATTCAGGAAGCAGTATTTGTTTTGGTCTGAGACCTGTTCATTCTGTCAGATATCATCTCAGGAATGGTATTTCTACTGGGTTTGTCTAATCATTTTTAAGAAACTCTGTTGCTGAAATTAATCAAAATGCTACTGAAATTAATAAAAATGTTCATGGCAAGCTTGTGGATATTTGCTACCTGTGATAATAACAGTTTATCTCGGTTAAAATAAGACAGGAAGTTTCCATACAGTTTAAAACTACTGCTGCTTTAATAATGTAAATATTTACATTGAGATGATAATAAAATCTGTGAACAAACCAAGATAAAGAGGCCGGATTTCTAATGTGTGGAGTTACTGTAATGAGTTTTTTTCCCCTCCTCCTAACTGAACATAAGTAGAGTTGTATCCTGAGTAACATGTGAACTTTACTGGGAAATACCAGTCTTACTGAACTTTTCCCTTTAATATCACTAAGGTGTCCACAAACTGGAGATATATAAGCAGAATACATTGATGGCAAATGTTTGTCTTTACTAATTCTTTTTGAAATAGTAAAACTTATTTCTTTAAAGCAACTCAGGGTTGCTTGATAATGAAATAACTTTAAATTTCATGAGGAGCTGTAGGTAATGAAAGCCTCTAGGGCTTTAGGTCACCATTTTCTTCCATTATACCATCTCCAGGCGTTGTTCCAGAATCCTGTGTGTTTGCCCTACTTTGAAAATTTGATTGCCTCTCAAATCTCTCAAATAGCCTCAAGCTGTGTGCGTTATCATTCAGGCATAACAGAAAAGTGAGGTTATTAGACCGTATCCTTGATTTTTAGATTTCCTTGATACTGGGGTGGGGAATGTAAAACTTTTATAATTTTGAAGTGGAGGGAGGAAGAGTGTTAAGTGTCTGTTCATCCTTTTGCCTTTAATAGAAAGCCAATTAATAGTATTTTTATTGTGCTGTTGACAGGTGCCAATTTGCTAATTGACAGCACAGGTCATAGATTAAGAATTGCTGATTTTGGAGCTGCAGCCAGGTTGGCATCAAAAGGAACTGGTGCTGGGGAGTTTCAGGGACAGTTGTTGGGAACTATTGCATTTATGGCACCGGAGGTGAGAAACCAATTTTTAAAGTTATTTCAAAAAGTTTGTTTGAACTCCTTAAGCTAATTCATGTAGCCAAATAACAGAAAATTGCTGTATATGCTTCAAATGTGTTTTAAATGCCTTTGTTCTAAAGATTAGGAATGATAATGATGCCATTTCTTTCTTGCTGTCAAAGTTATTTTAAGTAGTTTGATACAAGATACAGATATCACAAGTGTTGTTACTAGCACTGAAATGACCATTTGCTCAAAAGCTAGCCATTGCAAAGTACTTTGCTTTCCACTTGGTCAAGTATTTTATTTACCAGATCTCTAGACCTGTGTAAATCTTGTGGCATTTAAATCACTAGTCACTCTCTTAGCCTGAAATATTGATCAGAATATACTTGCTTGTTGATGTGTTGAGGTTTACTTCTAAATGACTTAGAGCTAAGAGACTTTGAAGCATATAATCTGATTTTTGGTGTCTGTCTGTTCAGGTCCTGAGAGGTCAGCAATATGGAAGGAGCTGTGATGTGTGGAGTGTTGGCTGTGTTGTCATAGAAATGGCTTGTGCTAAACCTCCTTGGAATGCAGAGAAACACTCCAATCATCTTGCTCTGATATTTAAGGTGAAGTATTTTGTTATTATCAATATACTACAAAAGATGTCAAGTAATCTATACAGCAATGTGAGTTTTAGAAAAGTTGCATGTTGCAGGAGTTGTTGCAATACCTTTTTTTTATGTTGGAGCTGTTAGTACAGAAGCAATACTGGTACCAATATAATCATACTTGCTTCTTTAAAAAACAAACAAACACGCAGATACCAAAAAAAATATTCATACATGGTATTCGAAATCATAAAATTGTAGAACGGTATGTTTTGGAAGTGACCTTAAAGATAATCTGGTTCTACCTTCCCTGCCATGTGGGGCGCCTTCCACTAGACCAGGTTGCTCAGAAAGGTCTCTTCTAAGACATAAAAATATAACAGGCTAAAAAAAAAGGAATATAATTGATCTTAAATTAGGCAGAAGATTGGGATTTGAACTTTTTCTTACAATCCTGTAAAATACAGAAGCTTTTTTTACCATAAAACATTTGTATATGTATTCATATTTCAAAGTGGGGAAAGTCCTTTTGTAAAAGCCTAGCGTTCCATGATCAGGTTTTGCTGAAAGATATTTTCCATTATGCCATGCTATATATGATTTTTTGCCCCTTCCTTTGCTAGATCATCCATCTTGGTATTCATGTTTCTTAATAAAATCAGTTAGCTATATTTAATTCTAAAGGTCCAGTTGAACTGTAGGCACAAATGAAGAAAATACTGCTGCAAGTAAAGGAAGTGTTTGCAGAAAATAGACATTGCACAGCAGTACTCAGATATGTTCTAACTAAAATCACTTGTGCTAAGAGATGTAATTGTCTTGGTTCTGTATCTCTGTGAATCTGGTGCTGCCAGATTTTTATTGATTTCATCAATGACTGGGAGCACTGTAGTGTTCCCAATCATCTTGCGTTAATCCATCTAGATAAAATTAAAATTAATTTGACTGGGAGAGATTTGTGTCTCTCTGAGATATATTTGCCTTTGGAGTAGTAGCAGAAATACAGTAAAGACAGTGCAAGAAAGGACACCCAGTTTAACTTCTTGTAATGTAACATTGCTCAGTTTAATCTCTCACCATGGTGACTCATGCCAGTTAACAGTGAAGGCAGCTAGTAGACTAAAGAATGTCCATATGTGTGCTATAGGAATTTTTCCTAAAGCCTGCTCAGAGATGAGCACTGCAAGATCTTGCTGTGAGAACTCTTAAGAGAAAAGTATCAGGAGGCAGTCAAACTAAAAAGCAATAGGTGTAAGGACAATAAACTGCAAGCAATGTAATCTTCAAACTGCAGTAGGAAACATACTGAATGGAGAAAAGCTCATAAATCTAGCTCATGCGCTGAAATTATCAGTTTGTAGAATGTTTTTGGGATACAAGAGGGGTCCTAATCACTGACTTCTAAAAGTTATTTCCCTTTATCCAGATTGCTAGTGCAACTACTGCTCCATCAATCCCTACACATCTGTCTCCAGGCTTGAAAGATGTGACTCTTCGGTGTTTAGAACTTCAACCTCAGGACAGACCCCCTTCTAGGGAGCTGCTGAAACACCCAGTGTTCCGTACTACATGGTAGCTACTTATTTGTAAGCCTGAAATACTGAAGAAAATGCTACTGAATATACAGTAACTGTCTTGCAGTGCAGTTAAGCACAGCAAATTATATTATTCTGCTGGCCTTAATGATAGATACATCAAGAACATAAGGCCAGTGGAGGACCCTACCTAAGTATGTGATTGACAAATCAAGATCTTTACCTAAGCTCAGTATGCAACATTTGACAATTCATGCAGAGATTTGCAAACTGTGCCTTTTTAAACATCTGGCTCTATGTTAACATAAAAACATTTTTCCTTAAATCTGCATGATTATTTAGCAGGTAAGTGATTTTTATTTTATTTAGAGCACTTTTTCAGCAGTATTAGAAGCTGAGAGGCTCAAGATCTATTTTAATATAGCAATCACTGTTCAATTTCACATGTAGATGCTCTGCAATTAGTAAGTTTTCAGTACTGGTTAAAAGGGCATTCTGTATCTGTCCCTTTTAATTACATTTTGTTCTCTGAGTAAAAAATCCAAATATTGGTGGAAACTTTAAAAAAAGCATTTGCCTTCCTATAAAGTAAGAGCAGGCACTCATGGTTCACTGTGCATTTGCTGCTGGCCATGTAATTTCTTTTGAAATCAAAGTTTGTTTTCTTTGTATTTTTAACTTTCATGAAAAGGGGATATTTTAAAATAGTCTTTAGAAAAAAAAAAGATGCAAGCTGTGTCATGGAATACTTTCCTGACACAAGAGTTTTAAAACCAGATTTGCTGGAAATCTGGGATAAAATGCCACCTTCAACAAGGATATGTTGAAGGCTCTGATAGTATAGGTTATTTAATAAAAAAGATTGTTCTGTATAAAGCAACTTAGTCTGAACCATGCTAGAAGTTGTTGAGCCTTTTTTTTTTTTTTCATATAGCAGTTTCTTCTGGCAAATCGTGTAGAGAAGTATCATGTCAAAGGCCCCCCAAACCCAGCTCCCATTAAAGATTTTATGGGAGACCTTGGCATGTACTTCAGTGTGAGCAGGTGCCAAATGAGCAAATCTCATTCTTTGTGTAAAGAAACTGAGGTTACATTCTCTACTGATAACAAGTTTTACCTGCTGTTTTCCTTCTGCCGTACATCATCTATTTACTGTAGCCATTAGTGATAATTTAATTTGAAAATGTTAAAAATATTACCATAAGAAAGGTATTTATTTTAACAAGAAACAAACTTGGACTTGAAGATCAAGATAAAGTAAAATGTGAAGTAAAGCTTCACCTGTAGTGCAAAACTTGTTGGTTTTAGGAGCTGTGGGGTTTTTTTTAAACAGGTTTTTAAAATTATTTTAAAGGCAGGTTTTTAGATTCTGATGCATGTAATTCTGAAGGAAAATGGCAGCTTTTTCTTTTGCTTTTTTAAAAATGGGGATCTTTTTTAATCTAATAATGATTGTGTTTAATCCATTTTGAAAAAAAATACTGTTCATGTTACAACTCTTCAGAAGCCAGTTGGATTGTTGGACTCAAATAGAATTGGTTATTTTCAAAGACTCAGGACAAACTAAATAAGCTATAGTACCTTAAAAATGTATAATACAAATTGGAAACAAGACATAAAGATAAGTTTACATGAATGATAGTGTTCATACTAATAAAAAAAACAAAACCCATGTCATTAGTTGTGAATGTGTTTCTTTTGGAAATTTTACATTCCTTTGTTTTTGAAGATTGGCAGACTTTGAAGAGTTAAAAAGATAATACCGAAATGTGAAGTTTGGTAGCTCTGTTTTGTACTTGACTTTTTTTTTTGACCACTTTAGAATTTCTCATTCTAATAAGATTGTTTCCAAGTCTTTCTTATGTGCAAGCTTTAAAGGATGCACTCTTGCCAATTCATGTACTGGAAGATCAGTTGTCAGATTAATACTGTTTCTGGCAGAAATGTAAACTGTATAAACTGATGAACCTCAGCTAATCAGTATTACTATGTAGATCACCATGCCTAGCACATTTCAAACTCAAACTGCCTCTTAGGTGTCCAAATGCATTTGTTTGAGTTTGCATTTCCCTTGGCTTGCTGGTAATTGTGGTGTTTTTAAAATGGAGATGTGATGTAATATTCTTATTTTCTTTGGATCAAAGCTGGACTGAAAATTGTATTGTGTAATTATTTTTTGTGTTCTTAATGTTATTTGGTACTTAAGTTGTAAATAACGTCTACTGCTGTTTATTCCAGTTTCTACTACCTCAGGTGTCCTATAGAGTTTCTTCTACCAAAGTTCACTTTCACAATGAAATTATATTTGCTATGTGACTGATTCCTAAGACTTCCAGGGCTTAAGGGCTAACTTCTATTAGCACCTTACTGTGCAAGCAAATTTTACAGAAATCTCTGGGTTAAGAAATTTGGCTTCATTGTATCCTTTGTTATTTTAAATATATCAAGATATTTTAATTAAAAGTTTTTACCCCACTGAACCAATTTTATATAGTACAATTTGTACGTATTTTGGTGTTTTTTTGTCTTTATAGTAAATAAAAGTTTTTGAACAAACTTTGTCCTTTGCTTACTGTAAGATGAACACGTTTCTTTTACTGATGGAAATAAAATATTTCTGGTACACTTCACTGTTTACACACAATTTCGTACACTTGATATATCAAGATTTAGTTTCTAATATTAAATGACACGAGTGAATACTGGCCTACATACATATTTATATGTCTTGGGTGAATTAATAAAGAATACTTACATAAAGGGCAGCAACAAAGACTAATTTCTTCTTTTTAAATTAATGATAAAGATAGGAACTTCTCTTATGACAGCACTGGTATCTATGAACCCCACTTGATTATTTATGCCTTTAGGTCAAGGATTGTCTAAATTTTGCATTATTGCAAATGTAACAGTTACCTATTCAGGTGAGCTGGTTAGGTCAGTTGCAGAGCCATTAAAGTACATGTTGGAAAATTAATCTGTTGTTTTATGTTTCTGGTGAAATGATTCTGTTACATGAGATTTTAATAGCAAATCTAAGCCTTTTCTTATTCAGGCAATCCATGTATTCCAAAACTAGAGCTTATTTCAATTCTTGTTTTTCTCCAGATACTTTTGAAATTTTAAAAATTAATCTTTTTTATGGAAACAGATTTCAACTATAGACTTTCTTACGACTCTAAATTCTGTAATTTGAAGGACTGCACTTTTTATTATTTTCATTAGTTATGAGACTTTCTGCACATAGATATGAGTTTATCAGTTCATCAGAAAAAACTGGCAGCAGAAATCTTCAAATAAATCCTAAGATTTATTTGATTTCTCAAATTAGGAAAATGTACTACTTGAAATGTCAGAAAGGAATATACATGGCAAGGATTAAGTAGGAGATAAACTGATTATAACGATTAACTACAGAAGTTCTGAATCCTGCAATACTGTGTTGTACTTGTGATGTTGCAGCCTCTTTTTTGGGAACAAGGGATGGCAGAGATCACTGGTGCCCAGCAGATGGCAGCGAATTTCAAAGACACCTGCTTAGGGAGTCAAGGGCATGTTCCCTACTTCCACAGGCAAAGGGTAAGCTTAATGCCTGGTGTGACTTCTCCAGTGGGAATAAAATCACATTTCTGCATGTTGGTCATAGGTTGAAGTCGTCTGGTATTTCATCTTTCAAAGTTCTCACTCGAGGCTAAGAACTGCCTCCAGAACATGTTGGAGTGTCACAAGGGTCATGTATGTCCTTTTATCACATGATAGTGGGCGACTTGTGTGCATGGCTGTTGTGACCTGACTGCCCACCTCCCAAAGCTCTCTATTTCCCTTACTCACTTTGCACTTATTGCTCAGTCTTCCTTAATGACCTGAATCAAGCCGTGACTGCCCTACTTTTAAGAGCCACAATATGCATGTGTTGTGGTGAACAGATGTGTTGTTTTCTGGGTATAGCACACGGCTGCTGATACAAGAGTTACAAGTACTGAAGTGAGACTTTTCCCTGTAATGGCCGAGGAAGGCCAGCAGGTGGCAGGGAAGCACTTTGCGGCAGCCACTGTGCCTTTTCCTGCTTTTTCCCTCAATTTCTTCAGTTCCCTGTAGCCGATCGCTCAGCTCCTGTTCTTGGGAAAGATGACGCCGACGAACAGTAGAATGAAGTGATTATGGACAAAATTAAGGAACAACTTAAAATACTTTTGAAGCTCTGAGATGGGAAGTTAATTCTGATAGTTACAATGCTTTGGTTACATTGCTTTTGTCTCCAAGTCCAAAACCTTTGTCAGAATTCAAGTGTTTTGAGGACACATTTCTCTACTCTAAAACCAATTCTCAAACGCTCCATGTTTTTTAAACTGCTTTCCAGATAAAGTAAAATACATGCATACATGTTCTTATTTTCCCAGAGCATAGCCAGTGTTAAACTGCAGATAAGGAGCAGCATTCAAAGATAGAAGTTTTATATAAAACTAGTTATCCAAGCAGCCAAAGGACAACAGTGGCCAAAGATGACAACAGTACCCTTATCTTTACACCTGTAGTGGTTTGTAGAAAATTATTTGGAGGCCATTGCTAATTTTTGAAGACCAATTGCTGAGCAATTGTTTTCCTCACTAGATTTTTTTTTAAATTACCTTAGAGATAAGTGATGTTAGAATGTGGCACCAAAAGGGCTTATGCCCCTGTTTGCAAATGCTCATGATTTGTAGTATATCCTTTCAATCTGTGTACTTCGATGCTACTGCTTGCTGTACATCACCTTTAAATCTGCAGTAGCTTATGATGCTACAAAGTACGGCTCATGTCTCCTTGTTACCATAGCCACATACTGGGTAAAAGTGTGGACAGAAGTGTAACAGGTCTCGTGTCTGTAGCTCAGCCACTCTTTTTATGACATGGATCACAGCTCCGGAGGACAAATCTTACGAGGAGCATCTGAGGGAGCCGGGGTGGAGGTGGGGATGGGCTCAGCCTGGAGAAAAAGAAATTCAGATGTGACCAGAAGGTTGGAGCCGGGTCTGGGCCGGCCCTTTCTCCCAGGCAACAGGACGTGAGCACCTGGCCTTAAGCTGCTGCGCGGGAGGCTCAGGTGCGATATCGGACGGAATTTCTTCAAAGGGAGGGTGATTTAACATTGGAATGGGCTGCCCAGGGAGGTGGTGGAGTCACTGTCCCTGGAGATGTTTAAGGGAAGATTGAACAATGATACAGCGGTGTTTGGTCACAGGTTGGAGTCGATCTGAGAGGTCTTTTCCAACCTAATTCTGTGACCATTTGAGGCACTAACAGCCCTTACCATTGCTAGAAGCGGGCACTGGATGATTTTGGAGAGGTGAAGTGTTAGGAGTGGTCTTTCATGGCCGCTTCTAGGTAATTTTTAAGCCACCTTTTAATCTGATATTGTCTTTTTGGATTGCTCAGTACAACACAGCAGGTACAATGTAACGTTGTTCCGAAAGACAAGTGTGTGTATTTACGCCTGTAAGTGTGCACCCAGGAGCTGTGTGTTTTCATGCCCGGTGCCCGCCGCTCGCCCCGTTCTGGGTATTGCACGTCCTTACCCGCGGCGCAGAGCCCGAGCCGGGCCCCACGCTCGGCACTGGGGGCTCGCCCTCACGGCCCGGCCGCCACTCGGCGCCCCTCCGGCCGCTCGCAGCCAATGGCAGCTCGGGACACAAACGCGCCGGCGTGTGTCCGGAGCGCCGATTGGTTGCCCAGGTTAGCGCGGGCGCGGCTCAGCCGGGGGGCGGTGCCGGGGCCGTGAGGGAGCGGCCGCCATGCTGCGGGAGCTGCGGCGGCGCTGGGGCTCCTACAAGTATCGCTTCGTGCCCTGGCTCGCCCTCAACCTCCGCCGCCAGCGAAGGTGAGGCGCGGGGAGAGGTCCCGGGCGCCGGCCCAGACCCCGCTGTCCCTCATCGCGAAGGTCTGAGGCGCCGCAGGAGTCACTCGGGTTTGTCACTCAGAAGTGCTTCAGCATTGGTCGCCCCTTGGCTGGCATGAAATTCTTAGTCAGATACCTTAAAACGGTGTTTAACGTTGTAGATAGATAGATAGATAGATAGATAGATAGATAGATAGATAGATAGATAGATAGATAGATAGATAAAATCTTGTTGGCAAGATATATATGCCCTATTTTAGTTGTAGAAGTAGTGTTTGAATTTGAATTGTGACATGGTTATAAGTAACAACATTTAAATAAGTAACTAAATTAAAACCTTCGTTGTCCATGGAATATTTGTCTCACCTCATTTAAAGTGTGATTAACTATTTGGGATTTTTTAAATAAACAGTATGATAATAATGTTTTATTTTCAGTGTCTTTTTCACTGAGAGCTCAGTAGGGTTTAATCTATTTGTAAATACTCAGAAATGATAATTTATAGTAGAACAGGTACTAGTTTTAACTAAACAGTCTTTTTAAGTGGTTTTTTTTTGTGTTATGACCAGTGGTTTAGCTTGAACAAGCATGAAAAAAGCTTGGGGTTTTCTAAAACAGCAGTATATCAAAGTTACTGGTGCTGCAAAATGGGTTTTCTGTATTTAGGAAAAAAATAAATGTTTCTAATTTTAAAATAGTTTATTTTCTTTACAGGACCCTTCGATATGTTCCTGAAAGCTCTCAAGACAAAATTATTGCTGATGAAGATGTCTTTGAAACACTACTGAAAACATTTAAAGCTCTGTTCATAAATGACTTCAGTAGACAAGCAGATATTCTGGCCTTACTTCCAGAAGTCAAGAGTCAATATCTGGAATTACTGACTGTGGAGCAGAAGCGGTCAAAAGTAAATTCTTGTAACCATCAGGGTCAGCACGTGTTTAGTCCTGAGGAAGTTTTGTTTAACACGCTTGGGTTCACTGTTAGCAGAGACCGGAGTTCCCTGGTGTCTGCTGGAACTGGAGTCTTTGTTACCAAAGGTTTTGTACCGAAAGGGACGGTTGTGTCTATGTATCCTGGTAATGGAATGTTCTTATTTTTGGTTAAGTTAGATGAGACTTCTAACCACCTGATCATGGAATGCCAAAGATCTACACTAATTTTTATTTTATGGGTTTTCTTTCTGTCATTCCTTGACAAAATCACCAGTTGGGCTGCGTGAGAATATTTATAAGCTGTCTAGAGCTGATTTGGAAATACAAAAATTATTGGGAAGGGTAATTTTGCTTATAAAAATAATTTAGCGATTAAAGCCTGATTTTCCAGCAGCTGTAAAACTTGTTCCAGATTCTTGAAATGTAAATGCCTGGGAGAAATTTAAAGTAGATGAACAGTACAATGTAATTCCTTGGGGTTTCTGTTTTGGTTCAGGATATGAAAAATGAGGTTTTGAGACCTCCACACAGGTCAGTAGACAATTGCATGAGCTTCTTCAAAGTACAGAAGTACAAAATGGAGAATGAAAATAAAAGCTTCATGTAGCAGAACTTTATTCCATTAAGTATGTTTGGAAAAATCAATATTTCTCTCTTCCTCCTTTCTTGTAACTGTATTTGCATACATTTCTTAAAAAGGTTTGTAATTCTATCAGTATGGCCAAGCTAGCAGCTCTGCTGAGTTGCTTTGGGTTTGTGTCTGTTTCATCTGCCAGCCAAATCATCTGCTGTGGTCTCTGGCTTGTGCCAGCAGTGCAGGATCGGGAGCAGCCCAAGCATTCATTGGGCAGTAGAGTGTGTTTTTTGAAGTGCCTGGCCATTACCATTGATTACTCATGAGCTGACTAATTGTTGAGTGACAGTGAGAGAGCCTGCCACTTTTGCAGCTCTCTTCGAATTTCAGGCACATAGTAGACCTGAGCATAGGCTTATTCCTGTAACAGAGTCTGGTGTAACAGCTCTTCTCGGAAGACAGGAGGATGGGCTGTTGAAATGCCTTTTCAGGGTGCTGAAGGAACCTGCCGGGCTGGGGCTGGGACCCTGTGTACAGGGATCGCAGCCTGCCTGCAGCCTTTGTCTGGCACCTTGTGAGATTGCAGTGCAGGATTCCTGCAGAGAGGTGCTGAAGACGTAGTAGGTGTGAGGGATGCAACTCAACGAGTTCATGAAAAATGACAAGCCAGTCAGCTTGTGTCTTTTCTGTACTTGGAAGTCACGGCAAGTTAAATCCTCTCTACAGATTTGGGAAACAGTCTGCTGAAATAATTTGGTTTGTCATTTTCCATCTCCTGGACCAAACAAAATCCCTGGGGTAATCGAGGGAGGTGTTTCAGATTCTTTGCTGAATCTGTGTGTGTTTTTCAGTCCTGACACAGTAGGAACAAAACAGCTTAGTATCTTAAGCTGTGTTTCCTGAACAAATACCATCTGATGCTTTCATCTCTGAAGCACGCTAGTTGGCTATGAGGCTTTATCTACCTCTCCCAAAGATACTCAGTTCAGTCTTTCTGTGATTTTCTGTGAGGCTTCTCTCTTTGGTAATATCAGGTCGTTTAGTTGAGAGGGGATTTAGTATATCCCAAAAAGTTGTGTCTGATAGCTTGTAGGTTTACAGATGTCAATGTCACTAAGTGAGAGACTTCTCTCTTACCCACTGTCTCTCCTTTTAGTTTCTGTGTGGAGGGGGCTGTAAGCCCATTCTGATAGTTAACTTATTTTCTTCTGAAATAATGTCTGTCTTGCAACAGGTACAGTATACAGAAAGCATGAGCCCATCTTTTTCCAGTCCCTTGGCAATCCCTTTATTTTTAGGTGCATTGATGGTGTCCTTATTGATGGGAATGATAAAGGACTGTCAAGATCAGTGTACAGGTAAGCAAAAGAAATAGAGGAGTGTCACTCATCTGATTTAAAACAGGGGTAACTCCTTGACTCAGTTCCCTGTTTCTTACCCTGAGTTGTACGTGATTGTTTTCCAGCTGTGCATTGCTCATAATGCAAACAGCACAAGGGTGAGAGATTCCGGATGTGATCCAGTATGTACTTGTGTCTTTATCTGTAACACCAATGAGATACATTTTGATGTAGAGACTTTGCTGTGCAGAAAATAGTTCTACAGGAGCAGGATGTTGTGTAAAAGCATTGAAATGTTTCTGAGCTGTTATTCAAACTTGCTTACTTCAGTTCATTAAGTCCAGCTCCTTGTTCCTTGTGGTGCTGAACCCTATGACTAAGAGCATCATGCATGCACTCCTTCAGCTGTGATAGACTTGGTGCTGTGACCACTCCACAGAGGAGCCCTGTGACCAGCCACCCTCTCTGTGAAGAATCATTCCATAATGTCCAGTCTGAACTTCCTCTGACACAGCTAACTGCTTGATTTACCATAAAATATCATTTGTTGCAATTTGTGTTTAAATATGATGTGAAAAGAACTAGAAGAATGATATAAAATAATATTGAATTTTGATACCTACTAATACCAGATTTTAATTTCTGTAATGAGTCTAAAACTAATACTGTAATGAGTCTTTGCATTTTTAGAGATGAGTGAAAGGTGTTGACACTTCTGTAATGGTTAGATGTTGATTTGTGGAAGAGTATATGGTAGTTTTATGCATGTTCTTCCACCAGAATCTGAAGGACACCAGAGTAGTGGGAGGTGTTAGTCTGTGCACATGCCCTCCACCCCAGGTGGGTTGGGCAGCTGGAACTTTATGAGGTGACTGTGGCCCTTCCTACAGAGGAAGTAAATGGCAAATGAGCCATGATCCATGCTAACGCTGTCGGGCATTTCAGGTCTTGCAGCAGAAGAGATCAACTTGGCCCTTTTCAAATGAGTGATGAGAGCTGGCTCACAGCCACCCCGCAAAACCCACTGGCAGTGGGACAGTATGTCAACAACTGCTCACATGGTAAGTTGCCAGTTACATTTTACAAGTATGAGTTTGGCTTTATGGATAAAATGATATTGGGGGGGGCAGTAATGCTGTTTAAAACAAAGCACTTAGGGAGTAAAACATTTCTGATGCTTTTTGCCACAGCTGAGTATTAGAATCCTTCTGTGCAGCAACACTTCAAATATACTTTTTCTTTTCTCGCTGATGCCCCAGTTTCCCTCCTGGTGTGTAGAATGAATGGCACACACTCCAAAAGTGAGATGGTGGGAAAGGATATCTGGCAAAGTACCACCAGACTGAGGCAGTAGAGAGCTGCAGATCAAATTCCCTAGAAGGATTCCAGGAGGCTTAATGAGAAAACTGCACACAGTGACATGGACAGTAAGATTCTATCACTGCTCACTTTGAACTTAACACCTTTTCTAGACTTCCTTATATTTATGCACAAAATGTAGGAAGCTGTTGTTGTAATCTCACTTGTCAAACCTGAAGAAGGGAACTACTTATTCTGTGTAACTGTTGATTGTAAGTAACTCATGGGAACAGTTGTACTGTACAGAAAGTTGAATTGATGCCATAGTCAGCTTCTAAGTGGCTTTCGTAGTCCGCATTATGTTAAAGATTCTCTGCCTCTAAGCATTCAGCATTAGAAACCATTAACATTCAGAAAGATTGCCAAGGATTGGCAGAGAGATCCAGGGTAGTCCCACAAAACTGTTGCAGGTCGTGTCTGTGTGAGTGGTGATTTTCTCCGTGCTTGTGTTTCTGACATGTTTTGTCACCAGACAAGAATATTTTTCAATTTATTTTTTAATTGTAAAAACAAGCATTATGTATTTGGAACATTTAGCAATGCTATAAGTTAACCCTGGCACTAAGCAAGTTGTGCTTCTTCATAGTCGTTGATAACTGGGCAAAGCTCCTATAGTTGATTGTGTACCTCTTGTGTAATTCAAAATAGGCCTTCAGAGGAGTGTAGTACCTCCCAACAGAGGAATGATTCTCAGATTTGATGAAGCATCTGGTTCCGTCGTAGTCCATTTGATGTTTTTACACATCTCTAAGCCCTATCTAATAACCTTTTTTTTTTTTAATTCCTAGAAAAAGCAGCAAACGTGTGTTATCAAGAGTTTGATGTGCCGGGACATTTTCCAGTAGAACTGAAACAATATCTTCCAAACATCGTCTACAGCCATGATGTAGAGAGGTTGGCAGCAAATGAAAGAGCTCGTAGATTTGTATGATACAAAGCATATTGCATGTGTAAAGAAAAGACAGACATGGTTGAAAAATAACAAACCATATGAAGATGAGTTACACAAGTGTGCAACTGTATGAGAGAGTTACCTCTCTGAATAGAGAGGTAATTTTAATTTTAATTGCAAGATTCTTCATTCCTTTTTCCTCATTTTTTCACAGATGAAATCAGCGTAGCTCTGAAGACACAGTTTTACAAGCAGTTGTTGCACTATAGTGCTATTCTTCTGAATCCCATAAAGTACTAGTTGTACTTTGTATTACAGTATTGAGGCTTTCCAGTACGTATCTCAGATCTGTTTTAGCCTTGACCAAAGCCTTTCAGAGATAATTCAGATTTAGGCTTCTTGCTCTCTGTTCTCCATGTCTTCTGCTTATGTGACAAATAAGCAGATGAATTTGCAAGAAGAAACCTAAAATCGTATTGAGACAAGTGAAATATTAAATATTTCTGTAATATAAAAGCATGGACTTACCGTTTCAGTACAGTTAGTAAAATTACAACATCCTGGTTATGACTTGAAAGTCCACCTTTTTTCAGAAATTAGAACAGTTGGAAATCTTTCTCAGATAATCCTATTCATTTCAATGATACATAAGAATATTAGAGCAGATCATCCAAACTTTTAATGTAATTCTGGAGTTATTTAAGTACTCTGAAATTTCATTGGAGAAAGTTAAGGTACATATTGGAAAAATGGCTTTTCTGATTAAACCTGAAGTTTGTTCAGTCAAGTTTAAAGATGCACTTGGAATCTTCAGGTTATTAAACAAATGCTAATAAAACAAGCAGTAGGACTGAACTTTCAGGAAGCCTGGATGCAGTACTTGAAGAGTGAAAGCACATGAACTATGGGACTGCTTCAGAAAGGGGGAGTTTTGTGCTTGCTTGGAATCTGTCCAAGAAAATATGGTGTTCTGGTCAACATTTCTCCTGGTATATGCAGCCACCAGAGAAGAGATCCAATCTGCTTCTAGGTGTTTTTTTCGATACTGATGTATACAATGCTGAGAACATAGATTATCTAGTTTCTAGATCTTTTTGTGTCTTATGAAAGAGTTCTCAGTACTTACTTACCTTGTTGTTTCTTATGTTTCAAAATGGCCTCACACTAAATTTTTAATAGTGGAGATTTGGGTTGATGCTGTTTTCCACTTCCTGGTTCATCAGTATCTAAAGCATGTGCTGTCCTTCCTGGAACACATACTTCAGCTTCAGGGCCTGGTTGTTTACTAAAAGGAGGTTTAGAGGGCTGGGTTTCTGTATTTCTTTCTCAGAAACTGCCTGCCAGCCCTTGATTTCAGCTGACTGAGGGAGCTGAGGTTGTTTATCCTGGAGAAAAGGAGACTCAGAGGTGACCTTATCACTCTCTACAACTGCCTGAAAGGTGGCTGTGGTCTGGTGGAGGTTGGTCTCTTTCTCCAGGCAGCAACTGACAGAATCAGTCTTGCGTATATGAAGGGAAATTTAGGCTGGATATTAGGAAAAAGTTTTTCACAGAAAGAGTGATAAAGTTCTGGAATTTCTGCCCGGGAGGTGTTGAGTCACCATCCCCGGATGTGTTTAAAGAAAGAGTGGATGTGGCACTTGGTGTCATGGTTTAGTTGAGGTGTTAGGGCATGGGTTGGACTCGATGGTCTTGAAGGTCTCTTCCAACCTTGTGATNGTACTGAAATTATCAGCCTGGGGAGGTGGTGGAGTCACCATCCCTGGATGTGTTAAAAAATATTGGATGTGGCACTTGGTGTCATGGTTTAGTTGAGGTGTTAGGGCATGGGTTGGACTCGATGGTCTTGAAGGTCTCTTCCAACCTTGTGATTCTGTGGTAACTGACCCATCACTGCAGAGGCAGCAGATCTGTGGTGCAGTTAGGAGCTGTCTTCCTGGATGGTGGTAGGCCTTAGGAGAGATGCTGTTGCCAGCTGACACCTGTGGACAGGCATGTCAACAGGACTGGCTTCTGCTTGAACTCTGCTTTGCTCCTGTCTAGGTGTGTCTCTTGCAGTTTTGACTAATTCTTTTAATATCTCAATGATTGTGTGGAACAATTGAATGGAAACTTTTTTTTTGCATACCCACGTAGATGTGGTTTTAATAATAATGGGGTAATAATATTGGTTTTGCTTATATTTGCTGTCTGTATTCCAGTGTTGTTTTTCCGTGTTCCCTGCCCTGCTTTATGCATATTACTCAAAACTAATCCAGATGAGGCTACCGGATTAGCTTCTTGAAATGAAGAATTGAAAACTATTTAAAGGACTTTAAATAACTGTTCACTTTCACATGTTTTTCTTCTTATTTTACAGCCACTTGAGATGTGTAGTCCTTGTCACTCTCAGAGACATCAAGCAAGGAGAAGAACTTTTTTCAAATTACTACACTGTTGTCAGCTGAATTAATTGATTCAAAACTGAAGAAATCTGTGTCAATAAAATATGTACCATGCCTTCAAGCTTCGTCATCATTTTTGTGTAAGGGAGAGCTGTAGTTTTACCATCCAGAAAGCAAAGCTGTAGGCTTGAATTTCTCTGAAAATCTTTTCCTCTGGAAAAAAGTCTGCATTTGATGCACAGGTGAAGATTTAACCATTACATCATTAGGTTCTCAGCTGTCTGCTGTTGTTGATATTTCTGCATATTGGTGTTCAGATGTCCATAAGGTAGATCATAAAATTAAGACTGAGTTATGGACATGTCCTTTCATCTACTGGATTGCACAGTTGTCTGTAACTGAGAGTGTTGTAGTATTTTCTCGTTTAATTTCCTGTATTTAAAATGGACGCAGCTTGTAAGAATGACTTTCCTCTTGAACTGTATAATTATATATCATGCTAATTCTCATAGTTCACAGTAGTTACTATGTCTTTTTCTGGTTTCTTGAAGCTGACCCGTTTGGTGTCAGCTTGCTTGTAAAAATCACAGCAGTGCAGGCAGTTGTCCAGATCTTGTATGAAGCCCATTTTGGAGCTGTCACTGATGTTGGAGACAGGAATGTGACACGTGCACACACCAAGTTCATGCAGAAGCAGCCAACTTTGATTGATGTGCGCCTCCTTTCATAGGGGCTTCAAATTTCCTGTGATTGGTCAAGGGTTTAGCTCTGCCCAGCTCACTGGGCAATGGTGTGAATGCATTCATACTTCAAAGGGAGTGGCTGGGGTCCCCTGTCTGAGTTTGGGTCCGGCTTATCCATAACATGCCTGGGGGCCTGCTTATGTCTATTCTGTAAGGGGCTGGGCTGGTTGAGCAAGTGTCTGTCATGGCCAAATTATCTTGTGCAGCTTCCAGCCCAGCTGTGGCTGTCAGGTGGAGCCATGCTGATGGGCCCCTCGGCTGTGCCTGCATGGTGCACTGTCATCTTGAGGCCATCTTGAGCCACTGGCTTTAGCTGTGCCCGTCCTGGATTAGGAAGAAACATTTGTGTGCCTTGAAGCCTTGTCCAGCCCCGATTCCAGTGATTCACTGCAAGTTTCCTGGCATGTGGCAACTTTCATTGCTTTTATTCTAAGAGGACTTCATTAATCAGTTGCTGGCATTAACGGGGCCAACTATTCCCACATTAATTTTTGCTGCTGTCTGCAAACTGCTTTCAGAAAGATGAAACCATTATTCACTGCAAAACTCCAAGCAAGCCTCCCAATGAATTTGTGGTGGACATAAGCTCATGAGAGTGGAGGACCTGGGCAACGCTGTGCTGTTAGGAATTGGGTAGTGGTTGGGGCAGCCAGGGTGCCCTGCTTAGCTGCTGAGGCATCCTCTCTTTTTTAGAATGCAGAGCTTTGTGGTGTCTGTGTTACATGTTCTGCTTCCAAACCTGAACTTTGCCAGTCACATTGGGGGTTCCCATTCATTTGGAAGTCCTTCAGTGCCAGAGGAGGCTGGCTATTTCAGCAAGAGTTAACCAGCAGAGCTCTTGAGACAGTGGCATCAAGCTCAGCATGGGTTGTGCAAGTTTCATAGTGATGCTCAGGGTGACTTCTAGTGGCATTCTTTGTGTCTCCACTGCTTGTAAGGGATCAGAGCAGTGATGACCAGTGTGCTGAGGAGGATGGTCTTCCTCCATGACTCTGAAGATCCCTTCTCTCCTGAGCTAACTCTTCTCCCCAGCTCTGTCGGAGGTTATTGGAACCTCTTGAGCTGTGGAGGAAGCTGGATGTCAATGGCGCTTGCAGTGTTCCTGGTGTAGGGGCTGTGGTTCCCCAGGCAGCTCCCATGGCACTCTGGAAGGAGGAGAGCAGGAAAGGTGTGTGTGTGCTGCTCCTCTTTTGTCCCTTCTCCCTTGCTCTTAAAGCTGCTGTTCTTTCCTGGCCACTGTTTGTCAGACTCTCCCATGAGCTGATCTGACTTGCTAAGCACAGTAACACCATCACCCCCACCCCAGGCTTTCTCTGCTGTTTTGTTCTCTTGCATTGCAGTGAGCAGAAACAGCTTATAGAAAACAGCTCATAGAAGAGCCAGTGAGTTGGAGAGCAGGATGCCCATAGGTGGTGTCAGAACTGCTGCTTTGACTCTCTGGGTCTTAAGCTGTTCCTTCAGACAATTCCATTTTCCACATAAAGGTGGTGCTGTACTTGCTCGACATCCCCCTGCCTTGCCAGGCTGCTCTGCTCCCCAGTGCGTGCTGCTCCCCATGCCGGTTCTGGAGCTCACCTGGCAACACAGGAAACCGCGTCAGGAGCTTCAGCAAGAGGGAGTGGTGGTGTTCGGCCGCGTTAAAGAGCTGTGCATGGCAGCCCTGTTGGCACAGCAGGCAGCTGTGTGCCAGCCACGGCAAGGGAGCGGGTGGGGATAAGCAGCCATGCTGCAGGGCAGGAGTGGGCCCACGGCTCAGCACAGTGAAGGGAGCAGCAAAGCATGTTTCTGGTAGGACATCCTATCAGACGGGCAAGACTTAATGGGACCTTAAGATTACTTTTCCCTACAGACAGGGAAGAGAAATCCAAGAACTAGTAGAGGAAGGGTTTATCAAACTAATAGCCAAGGTTTATGCTTGCAATGTTTCTGCCTTGTAACTTGACAAAACAAGTCAGTTAGTGAGGTAGCAGCAGTGACTGTTTGGGTAGGTTTGGGGGTGAGAGTTGTGCTGTTCATGGGATTCCTGAGCTCAGCAAGACTTGAGCAGCAGCCCCAAGCCCTGTCTGGACCAGAAGCCCTCAGCAGCCAGTCACCCACTTTGCCAGGAGCAGTGCAGCAGATTCAGCTGGATCTGAGGAGTGTGAGCAGAGTGCAGTGAACATGAACATGGTACAGCAGAATGACCAGGAAGGGCTTCTTTGACCATCTGAAGGGAGCCTATAGAGGCAGATAAACAGACTCAGTGTCTGGTGGAGAAGAGCCACTTAAATGATCCTTTCAGCCCCAGTCTTATTAATGTAAGCTAATATTAGCATAAGCTTCAGTTGTGGTGTGGCTGCACCAGAGCTCATTCCTCGGCAGCTGCTGGAGTCACTGACCCAGCGAGCCAGACCTGCTGTTGACAGATGTATCTCTCCCAGTCACAGACTGCCAGAAGTGTCTGATGCCTCTCAGGCTGGGCCAACAAACAGTTCTTTTGCAGAAGGTGTGCTATGGCTGAAGAGATGTGTCACCAGGTGAAGGAGCAGAGGAAGAAGCGAACAACTTATGTTGTATTTGAGTGAATGAGTAAGAGATTGACCAGTTATTTACAGAGATGCTACACTCAAGACTCTCAGGAGTCTCAAACCTCCATGGTAGCAGAGAAGGTGATGGACTCAGAATCCTGCAAGATAATTAGTCAAGGGTCTGTTGACGATGAAGGCTGGAAGCAGGTCACTGCATGTACCAGGAGGAAGGTTCCTCCTCATGAAAACAATTGGGACTAGCACCTGGTACAACTGGTATGAGGCCCTGGAACTAGAAGTCCAGACAACAGATAGGGTGGGTAAAGATCCTTCTGGAGTAGTGGGGCCTTGTGAAAAAACACCACCTGTACTCCACATCTCAACCACTTCTTTTAAGATAAAAAGTGTGGTAGTTTTAATAGGAGTCTGTCTTCTAAGGAGAACAGAGGGCCCAATATGCAATCATACCCAATGCATAGGGAAGTCCACTGGCTCCCAGCGGTTCAGATAAGGGACGTTACTGGAAAGCTCTCTGGTCTAGTAAGGCTATTCGATTACTATCTGCTATTTGTTGTTCAAACTGTCAGAGACAAAAAACCAAAAGAGAAGTCTGAAGTCCATCACAAGAGCCTTCAGGTCCTTGGGACTATTGAGAGTCTGAAGGATCAGGAGTACAAGTAGTGATTTCCTCGATTCTTCCAGTAAAAAGGAGTAATATTGATAGGATAATGGACCAAGGGAGTCTCAGCACCCTGAGCTGGAGGACCATGACTGTGAGAATGATCAGCTCCCAGCTGACTCTGAAACTGTGTGGAACCCGCTGCTGCAGCTGGATCCCTACAAATCTATGGGGTCTGATAAGATTCATCAGAGAATCCTAAAAGAGCTGAGTTGCAAAACTTCTCTCAATGATTTTTGAGCAGTTTTGGGAATCTGGAGAGGTTCCAGCTGACTGGAAGTTGGCAAATGTCCTGATTTTCAAGAAGGGCAAGGAGGACGAGCCCGGAAAACACAGGCCTGTCAGTCTCACTTCAGTGCCTGGTAAAACCATGGAAAATATTATTCTGGGAAGTATTGAGAAATAACTGGAGGACAGTTCAGTCACTGGTCACAGCCAGCATGGCTTCATGAGAGGGAAAGTCCTGTTTATTGAGTCTTCCTTTTATGACAAGATAATCCATACAAGATCAAGGGAAGCCAACTGATGTGATATTTTTGTATTTCAGTAAAGCTTTCATTGCTCTCTCTCGCTGTATCCTTCGGGACAAAATGTCCAGCTCACAGCTGGAAAAACATATTATGGGATGGGTGAGAACTGGCTCATGGGTTGGGCACAAAGCATTACAGTGAATGAGGGGACATCAGTCTGATGACCTGTCACTATTGGGGTTCCCCAGGGCTCCATCCTCGGCCCTGTGCTCTTCAACAGCTTCATACATGACTTGGACAAAGGATGAAAAGTAAGTTTGCTGATTACACTGAATTTGGAGGAGCTGTTGAGTCCCTTGAGGGCAGAGAGACCTTAAGAAATTAGAGAGCTGGGCAATCATCAACCATGTGAAATTCAACAAGGGCTGGTGCCAGATTCTGCCCCTGGGATGGAGCAGCCCTGGATGTACAGACAGACTGGGCAATGAGAGGCTGGAGAGCAGTGCCATGGAAAGGGCTCTGGGGTTCTGGTCCATGGCAAGTTGAACATGAGCCAGCAGTGCCCTGGCAGCCAGGAGGGCCAAGCATGTCCTGGGGGCATCAGGGACAGCATCAGCAGCCAGGCAAGGGAGGGGATTGTCCTGCTG